TTTGGTTGGTTTGGTTTGGTTATTACAGTTTAATTTTATTATTAAGTCATTATAAAATTTTAATTGAGCAATTTCTAGTTTTATTTAATAAACAGAATTATTTTCCGATTACTTAACTGTTGTTATATTATTTCCTTATCAGCAAGTTTGGTTAGTTCGGTTAGGTTATGATAGTTTAATTTTATAATTAAAAAATAGTAAAATTAAATTTGAGGCATTTATAATTTTTATTTTACGAACAGAACTATTTTTGAGATTAGTAAACCTTTATTGCCAAAGTGCTCTCTACTACAGCGCTGTTCACGGAGGAATTTTGAACTAAATGCCTCATTTGTACCTCCCCTAAGTCAGACCCATCAATCACTGACTTTAAAAGGTTAAGTTAGCCTGGACAATCACAAAAATTATAAAGTTAAATATTAATAAAGAAATCGCCTTACCAAAAACCCGGAGACCGGCGAAGTGTCCCTTTTGACAGTCTGGGGCCAAGTGTCTTCCTTTCGGTCAACTCCGACCTCAGTCTCTCCAAAGTACAATTGCTAAGTCTACGGTTTTTGTGGGTCGGTCGATTGAGCAAGCTACGTGTCATCAAGAATTCTGTCTACTAAATGCCAATGTTCTGACACTGGTATATGCATTGTGAAATCCATTTACCAGGTCTTTTACTTTTGAAATATAATCCCAAAATTTAGAAAATAATTTTTGGTGACTACCCGTCACAATACCTATTACATTTTAATTTACAACAATAATTTCTTCCACATTAAAAACGCGTAGGTTTCAAACTCATAACAACGCTCCAATAACTCGACCTCAACATTTTTACCTTCTCAAGTTAACTTAGTCACATATTTGATACTTTGATGTACCTCATCCTCCCACGTACTCGTGACGCTGGCCACCAATTATCAATAATGCCAGTGTAGAGCACATTCATATTTCCGCCCCCAGTGTGACAGGACGCGGTTGTATATCAGCTGTGCGGGAGGCGGCGTTGCCACTTCTCCTTCTCCCCCCCCTCCCCCCCCTTCTCACTCTCATCTGTAAACAGCACCCACATGGTATCTCGGACCCCGTGTCTCGCTCGCACCCGCACGATGTCGTCAGGTTTTTAAAAGGACGAACGTCTGAATGAATGGAATGTTTTCTAAACTGAAGCAGATGTTTTTGGTTTTTGTGTTTTGTTGAGATATATTAATGTGTTCTATCTCGTGTCGTAACACTTCGGCCCAAGTAACACTTCGGCCCAGTAACATTTCGGCCCGAAACCCTCAGATGTGGCCTACGGTCCAACTCTCTACCTGCCCACTAGTAACACTTCGTCCCAACAAAATATTTGACAGGTTAGGTTAGATTCCACCGATTCTCCGTCATGTGAGGTCAGAGGATGCAAGGGGTGACGGTTGGGCGACATTCCACCAGAGGGTGGTTGCAAAGTATACAGGTCATGTACCTCTTACTACCTAAACTGCGTTCCTCAACCCTTGTCAATTTTTCGTCGGGCCGAAATGTTACTCCATTAGCTTATTTAATCATCTGTAAAAGCGAGTGGGACGAAGTGATACTGTTTTTCTAAGAAATTTGAGTTTGGCCTATTTGGATCTTCCACGTGAAAAATCGTTGTGTTGCCTAGGTTACGGCTGGTCTTGTGGTTAGAGTGCAAAACACCTGCTCTGGAGTCTCCAGACTGAAGATTTGGGTTCAAATCTTACCAATAACAAGGGGTTATTATCAATACTTTTAAATTACCCAATCCCTTATGATATTATTGTAGCCTATACGTTGTTATATTTGAAAGGTACTCAACTAGAACCTATCGAAAAATGAAAAGATATCGTTCTAAGTCGTGATTAGTGTCTCTACCTAAGGATTTCCAGAAAAGTGCTGGCGTACAGACAGAATTATTATATCGTTCAAAGTTTGAAGTCTAATTTGGATATTTATGACGGTATATCATGCATTTTACAGAACACACATTGGGACTAGTTCATTGAAGGAAAGCTATCAAGAATGTTTCACCATAACTAGTGGAGTATTTTATTGTCAGCGGAGGAGTTAAATAACTCACAAGATTAATTGTAAAACTATTTAAAAATGTTAAATCTCAAAAGGAAGTTTGCACCATCCTCTATGTGTTGTATTCACAAGCGTTGGGGTGTACTAAATACCCAATACATTTCGTACAAGCTAAGGCGCAGTTTATGGACGTAGTAATTCTCCCAAGACAAACTGTTGTCCCAATTTTGAAATGTCAAAGTGCGGCTTGGCACGGAGCGGCTCCCGGAATTGAAGAGAAAGCTGTCCGACTCTTGAGGCGCGCCGTCGCGGGATTCGGCGGGGAACTCGTGCCCCCCTTGTCCCCCCCCCCTCACAAACACACGTACACACGTACAACGATGATTGGTGATGATAGTGATGATACACATCACCACAGCTTTGGCGGAGTTTGTCGGATTGTTAGATATGCGTGACGATGAATTTGCTAGCTTTCGTCGTCTGCAAGTGAAAGACCCAGCGTAAATGAACGTTGATAAAATTTGCTGATAGTACAGCGTTGACGGAGGTTTACTTCTTTGAACCTACGATTTTGTTAGACTTCGTTGTCTGCAATTGAAACATTCTGGGGACATTTGCTAAAACTATATCATTATGGCAGGGCCCCTGAACGATAAATGCGAACGTTTATGGACACTCCTACATTGCTAAGGGTATACTTGTTACTGTACATTGTAGCATGTTAAAATAATCGCAGATTTATAATGAATTGACATTCCTCGTACACGTTAAAACTACCCGAGAACTGATTTTTTTGCATGCTGACTTTTTTTGCACTTGTTCTCTACGTTGACTCAAACTTCACATAAACTATAGAAACGATCCAACGAAAATAAATGAAAAAAGAGTCAAAGTTTGCTTTTGTCTATAGTTACTAAATATTGTATTCATAAAATGAGAATGAATAATTGTAATTCATAATGAAACCAGTCTACAGTAAAACTACTTGGTCATGTTGACTTAGGTTGAATAACTTCTGTAGTCTGATTTTAACTCTGCTTGATTTCAATTTAATTCTTATAAAATAAAAAAAATAAAAACCCTAAATCAGGTTATGAAATTATGTTTTGATCATTTATAGGCTACGTAAACACTTCACCAGCAACAAGTCTATTATATCTTTAACACACAATTTCTCTCTCTTGTGGAAATCATTAAACAATCCGTATCAACGTTGACAAACAAACAACTTGTACAGTTCCTAGAACGATTCAACATTGTTTACCGTTTACAGACCTGTATTTCCTGTAAACGCAGGGCCGGATTTCCCAATAGGCCCGGTAGGCCCGGGCCTATGGGCGCAAGCTCCCAAAGGGCGCACGGCCGAGAGGGCAAAATTTTTTTAATATATAAAATAAAAATAAATAGCCATAGCTTAACATATTTTGCGAGTTGATATAAAAAAAACTCTTGCCAATAAAGCATTACAATTTTTAAATTAATTAAAAGAAATAACCGTTAGAAAATATAAACAGTTTTTCAACATTACGCATCAATTTCGTTACAACATTGATAACGAACCAGGCTGTAGGGATGTTGTCGAGTGCCCGAGCGGTACGCATCCCGTATCGTATTCCGTATTGCCAGTTGCCACTGTACTCTTTGCACTGCCACTATGCTGGCTCGGCGCCACTGATCTGAGTGATTGGAGGCGTATGCGTGTTAGACACCGTTACCACCCTTACCTCGCAAAAAGAAAATGTATTAACTAATCTTTTGATCAGTTTACAGCAATCTGCACTGCAGGGTCAAGTTAAAATATATAATACGTTTTGAATATTAAAAATACGATAAGTGTATCTTTAAAATTCAATAACGAAAAAATATCTGAGTTTGCAACAGGTTTTAGAAAAATTAAATCCCCTCCAAAGCACCATTTGATGTCATTTTCTCCTCAGCTCAGACCTGAGGATAATTATGATTGGCCGGACTATTGCTTTGCAAATATAATCTGAATGCAGTACTACCGTATGTTTTATCTATGGTACTACCATAGATTAACCATAAACTCAAGTCGACTTGTTATCATATTGTTAATCCTAAAAATAGTTTTTCATGTCCAGTTCATATATGTTGGTCACACTGGAAGTTAGTTTTGACGTAATTTTGTTTCTATTATTGTCTATTATTCTATTGTCGGTGTGAGTGTTTTAGTTTCTTGTAATATAACCAGGGGACGACCTATTGTTTATGATTAGATCGTTTTATTTTGGACAAACTAGGTTTAAATAACATATAACTTAAATAAAAAGAATTGTTTTCAGCTAATCCCTAAGGATGACAAATCTACTAAAGGCCTATGTTTAATCTAAGGTATCACGTACTGTTATGGAGTTCATGTTTTGGGGCCTGAAATTGGAATCAATGGACATGATTTTTTTGCAGAAATGCTCTGTGGGTTGGATTGTTTTGTTTCAGTCCCACAAGCGTGAGCATCTGCCAAAAGCATAAAATTGCCAAAAGTGTTTAAGATGGCATTTTGTTAAGGCTAAACAAGACAATTTAAAAACTTGCAATGATAAAATTCCGACGAGGAGTGGAGTTCAAGCAATTAACATAGGCCTTTAGGCATGATATAGTTTTTAATAAAGGTTTGTAGGAAAGAAACTGTGACCAGAACAGGGGGCGGAAAAATTATTTGGGCCTAGGGGCGCGAAAATGCTAAATCCGGCCCTGTGTAAACGCTCACTCCCGAATAAGCATACCGCTGTTTTAGAAAATGGTGAATTATAACGCTCTTGTAAGAGATTGGGGAGGGTCTTGATGATCTAACCGAAGATCGTAGTGCAATCATGACCTACTTGTCATCGTCCATCGACTCTTTAGTTGTCTATAATAAATGTTCGCAAATTCAAGTTTTGTCAACTACTAATCTTGCATTAATTGCAAGGAAACTGTGTTAAGAATATTCACAGTTGCTAACAGTGGTTGATGGTTTGTTCCAGAAGCCCACACCAGACAGTAATGGCCTCAAGAGGTATCTTCAGTGTCCCGCTGTGGTCACCATGAGACATCTCAAGAAGTTCCTGCGGCTAAAGTACGGCCTCTCACCTTCATGCACTGTAAGTACTAACCAAGTACTGTACTTCAAAGTTTTAGATTTTGATGTAGTAGTTAGCATAGCTGAAATATTACAAATTTTCTAGTTCAGCCCCCGAAAGTCGAAAGTTTTACTCACGATCGATTTGGCCAAATCTCGCTGTCTCCCTTGCCTATTCCAGAATTACATTATATGGTATATTTGTCCACCAGAGAATCTTTGATGAAACATTTCTTATTATTCTGAAATTGTCCATATTTGCCCTCCAGCAAACGCCTTTCTAAGCATCTGAATTCTTTTCCATCAATCTCTACCTCATCTTCTTCTTCTTCATGTCTTCCAATTGGTTTTACTGTTTTCATTCCTTCATTCTATCAATAAATATCGCTATTCCTTTTGTAAACATTCCTCTCATTCCCAATTACCTCTGGTGGTCGCATACTGTCCATATTTTCGTTTTGCCTTTTTGCGGCCCTCTCATGTGATCTTTTTGTCTTCTCCGATTCCAAAATAGCCTGTTGTATATGCTTTCCAAACTTTGAAATCCCGACGTTGCAAAATCTTACTACTTACTACTTTACTTTTTTATCTACATCTCGGAAAACTACGAAGGGTGATGCTAATGCTCAAAAACTGTTCATATAATGTTCATTCATCCATAGGCATATTTCGTCCTTGCTAAACCCTGAGCATACCAACATCCGTTATCTCGATATCAACATTTTTCTGATTACCATTCCCGTCTACCCAGCCATTCGCCAGAACCCTGTGGTTCCACGACCGACGACCTCCGTGTAGCGGTCCAGGGTCGCTGCAGCGTGACGACCGTAGACCGAGGATCTCTCAAGTCACGCTCACCAGCCCGTCACGTCGTCAGTCTCCCCTCCAGTGCATCTGAGTTCCCGGGGACTATTGAGTTAAAAATACGGTTTTAATGCAAAATTAATGCATATCATTCCCTCGTTTCAAGATATTATTACACCTTCGATTCGGCAATTTCTTTAAATTACTTGTAGGTACTGTATCAGAAGGGATCGTAGCGTAAGTTGTTTGTTCATGTCCATCCTCTGGTCTGATTTACTGACAAATAGGTACAACGCAAAATGGGTCTTCTAAAGGGCATAAATGTTTAAATTACAATTTGAAAACTTACCCTATGAATTAATCACCCGAAACCCTTGGATCAATCATAGAGGATAAATAACTTGTTATACATATTAGCCTCCCCCTAACATTTTCTCTGCCATCATTTTACTCCCTCTCTCTCCGTTGTACTTGAAAATAGTTTTCACAGTTCAACAAACCCCTATGAATGAAAATTACACTGAATTTCTACTAGATGTAGACTCTTCAAATTCAAACAATACCGAGTTGATTGATTCGAAAATTAAGAGTTAGAATACGTGTTAATGTAATCAATTTTCCCGATGGACCGAAGGGTAATAATGATATTCCGACCGAAAATCTCCCAATCAGTCTTAATTAATTCGATTAAATCAATTTCGGAACCGTCTGGGGGCTTAAAATCGGCGGGTCGCGGGTAAATTGATTGCCACGATAAAGATCGCAGCGATGTCGCCGCGGGAGGTAATGACATGCGCCCCTGGCCGCTCTTGACCCGCTTTCCCGCCTTTTCTCTGTGCATTTGCCGCCATTCTCGCCTAGACTGCCAATGAAGAGCTGGGCGCGACCGATGCGACAGGCCGTAGTAGGTTGGTGCACACTGATAACGCACTGTGACATTTGGGAAGCAGTAATGTTTCGTGGTAGATTTTATAAAGTTAAAATCAATTTTAAAAGTGTATATAAAGTCAGTTACTTGTGACTGCCGTTCGTAAAGCACTTTACCATTTTACATCATATATATCTAAACGTAGAACAAAAAACATCGTTTAACACTAGCTTACTTTTCTCATCAACTTTTGCAAGATAACTTACTTGTGTCTTTAGAGCAGATCCCTACGAGACAAATAGATTGCTGTTTAAGAGCACGTTACACTCAATGATATGTAACTTCCTAGCCCGTTTTACAAGATAGCTGAGTTGATCTCTACAAGACACAGAGAGCGTTGTAGTAGCACGTGTTTCGTGTTTGTTGTCGGCCATCTTGAGACAATACGCGCTATTTCCAGCAAACTTCCATTCTCTCCGCTTCGACAGCCCAGTTAAGCCTCAGCTGTCGCTCGTTTTCTAGAGTAGATGGGATGAATGGAAGGAATCCTGCCATCGTATTGTGTGTAAGATTATCCAGATTGTTTGTTGTATTGCAAACCTTTTGCGTAATACGAGAGGGACAGTTTAAACTTTCTTCGAGATAAATCTCAACTAAGCTTACCTCAAGTCGACATACCAGATTTTAGCACTAATTTATTAGGCTTATGAGGGTGTGTTTAATGTCATTGGTTTCCAATGCGTTAAGAAGAAATTTATTCTGACTAGAAAATATTTTCCAATCAGTTAATTTATTTGACTAAATCAATTTTGAAATCATATGGGGGCGATTAGGAACATGGAAAAACAATATTCAAGCCGTTCACCCATAAATGACTAAACAATTGAATATAAACCATAGCATCAGATCACAAAGCTTTACCCCCAATATACAATCTTGCCCGCCAAAATACATGTGCGCGCCGCCGCCCCGCGCAGCACGCGTCTCCCCTCCTCTTGTGGCACCCTCACCACCTTTCTGATATCTTTTTAATGAGGACAGAACGCCACATGTGCGGTATCACCTGCCGAGGCGATTGTTAGCGTTTCTGTAGGAATTGGATAACGTACCTCTCTCGGGACTCTGGACTTGAATGAATAGCAGTTTTGAGGACAGTAGGGATTTCTGGGCATAATGTTCCGAGCTGGTTGAAACGAAGGATGATTAATCTTAAAAATGGACAATAAGGCAGACAATTATATGGTCTCTGGGGGGGGGGCAATGTTTTTAAATCGTACATATTCAGATATGCTAAACCCTCAGGAATAAAAATCATTTTGTGTAGTTTTTATTGTGGAAAGTAGAGACAGAATGCGGAATCCCTACTGTCTAAAGTAACGAGTTGCTTCTTTTCAGATTTTACGTCAACAGACCACCTCTTAAAAAATATCAATACAATTTACTCAATAAATCACACCATTTCTTGCATCACGGTCAAACAGAAAACGCAACCAAACGTGTTATTTCTGCTTCTAGAGACAGAAACAACAGACAGGAAAAAACCATCAGCTATCCCATTACGAAAGAAGCGTCAACATCTGTAAAAAATAAATAAACCCCTACACTTTGAAAGATTGTAGTCGCGATCTAAATGTACCTCTGCGACTGTACATCCCATCACGAAAAATCATTTAGTGTAAAACTAATACAAGCTATACCAAAAGTTTTCTGATTTCAACAAAATATTTGATCCTGTTATCCTTAGTTCACGGTTCGTTTTATTTTCAATGTGGAACTTTGAATGTTTTTTTTTTAAATTATAATACAAGTTTCACACAACTCTTTAATAAGATAAAAAATGTCTTGAGAGGCCCTTAAAAAGTCCTTGAATAGCTCATTCCCATTTCTACCACGTCCAATGACATCTATTTTCTCGTACAAACAGGCCCCAAGTATTGAAATAGAAACGCTCCCAATATGTTCCCCTGCGACATCCCCTGCAGGATATGAAGACCCGGGCCCGATATGGCGCTTATTGTGAGAGTCTATCGATCTGACCCGCTGCCCTACTATAGGGGAGACCCGCACTCCACTCGTCACAATCAATAATTACACAACGATCAGTAAATGTTATGGTGCGTCTATTGCAGCCAGCAGTTTTGCTTAAAGTGTGTCGTGGGAAAAAGTTAGGGTGTGACAATGATTCGGGATATGTGCGTTGTTGCTGTAAATTTAACGTCGTAATTATTTCTTGGAGTACAAATGGTGGTTTGTATACAAATATTGTCATTATGGCTTCTTGATACATGAAGACGAGATGAAAATCCAAATTCCATAACTCCGTCCGTAAACTTGTATTTCACTGATTAGGAGTATGACAGTTGTCCTTCATTATCCTTAAAAACATAAACTTATCGACTTAACCACCAACAAGAACTAAATAACTTTCCATTGCATTCTTTGAAGGTTTCTATACTGAAAGGCAGAAAGTTACAAACTCGCAATACTGTACTAATTAAACCACCTAAGCAACCACAAAAAAACATACTAAACGAACAATGGACTATTAGCTAAGAAGTAAAAAATATGCACTGCTGATCCAATGATTAGTGAGAGATGTTTTAAACCTGAATTTAGCCATGTTAGTCAACGCCAGTGCAAGCGGTGATTCACGCGGGCGTTTGAATCTGAGCCAAAACACCTAATCTGACCCATCTGCCAAAATGACCGCTGCGATGTGTTTTCAACTCGTAAAGCGTTGTTGTCCTGGTTTAGAATGTCCTTTCGATATATTGGTATGGGTATTTGAATGAATTATGTCAACGCAGTTATGTAATAGGTACTTATTGGTTGGTGATGTTCAGTTATTTACGGCATATTGGGGATAATGACTGGCTACTTGACAGTTTCTTGCCAAAAGCCAACGTGTAACAAATTTTACTTTAACGACATTGTGTTATATCTCACGTTATGGAACAGATTTTTAATATACTCTAATTTTATGTAACGGTGGTTAAATTTACTTGTTTTATATCTATGAAATATTATCATCCCGTGAAATCTTTCTTGTTGTTCATCAAAATGACTGTTGTTTTTTTTTCAGGTCGAAATCCTTTACAGACGAGAATCTTTGCCGGATTCGTACTCACTGATGGACATCGCATACATTTACACGTGGAAAAGGGTGAGCAAATACAATTTTGCACATAGGTTTATTAAAGCTACTGTTTTATGTTGTATATTGTCATTGACTATTGGATAAGGTTATTTATCAGCTTAATTTAATTTCGTTTAAATATTAGCCGCCTGTTATCATTGTATTCTCAATTGTGTTGCAGAATGGCCCTATGCGGTTCTACTATCGCATCCACGTGCCCACCACGCTTAGAACCATCCTTCCTCCACTAAAGCCGTCCTCGGAACCCATCCGAGACCTGGGTCCACCCAAGAGACATCCTGGATCAGAGTTGCTGGACGCCGTAGGTCTTCGCCCCAAGCCCATAGACCCGCCGCGAGATCCGACATTAGATCCGCCACAGCTCGAGGAGAAGCCTCATAAGAAGGGGGTGGAAGAAACAGCAAAGCCGACTGACGAGTTGAAAACTAGTGTAACTAAAGAAGAAAAAGATAGAATCAAAATGAGCCCAGAGGAGAGCAATGCAGTCAACCAGTTACTCGCTTTGAGCTCGGGTCAAATACCTGTCGCAAATTCGTCAAAACCAAAGGAGACATCAGAACCAGTATCGTCAATTTTGACGACACCTACAGAGTCAGGTGTAGTTACTACCCCGGCAGTAGCAGCGACCGTGTCAGTTACACCTGGTGCTCCGAGCATAACGACAAGTGTGACTGAGGCACCGACCAAATCGACCACCAGTAACGGCAACGTGTTCAAAGTACCGCAGTCGATGACGAAGCGATTCGTCCTCAACGGTGGCAAATTGGTCGCGGCCAAGAACAAACAATCGAACGCCAAGGTCGGCGGCAAGCTCGGGGAAAAGAGCAGAGTGAATGGAAAACTCGTCAATGGGGACAATACCGTTGATAGGTACACAAACCCTCTCGGACTTGGAGGAATGCAAGGAGGCAGACTGCCGCCGGGCTCACCGCGACCTCCACCCAACTCTGATAAGATCATGAAGACAAAGTACATGCCTCCGGCGGGACTACTCATGAGTCGTCTTCCCGAAGTGACCGTGTCCCAGAATAAATCACCATCCGAACAGCGTGTGGCCCAGAAAACGCAAGTCCCTCAAGTATCTTCTAGTCAGCCTCAATCGAAGCATAACCAAAATCAAAATCGTCCCGTCTTGAACGCGAACGGGAATAAAACCGCGTCGCCAAATGGTCAGCCCCCGCACAGGAAGGAAACTAACAGGCTGGAGCAGATTGTGCAGAACTGCCTCAAGAAAGAGACGACGCAGAAAAAGGAAACGGAAGCGCGATGTGAAGCTAACGGCATGAAGCGGAACGGGACACTGAGTGCGAACGGGAGCGAGAGTGCGCGCGCCGCCTCGTCGATACGACCCCCTGACCACGCGGGTGTCGATAGAGTCGATAGCGCGGCGGTGGGGACGAGCATCTTGAAGAGGAAACTAAACGACAATCCCTTAAACAAGCAAGCCGCCCCCGAGGGACTCGGAGATGCCAAGAAGAGGCGACTCGTCACACCCGACGTGTCCATCGAGTTAACGACACACCCGTCAAAGGACAAACAGAAAGAGCGAAAACCAAGTGATCTATCGACATTAACGAAACGCTTCTTACACGACATACAGCGAACCTCTATGAAAAAGATAGACTCTGAAATCAAAACCAACAAGTTGGAGCAAATGTGTGCATCTACTGTGAAGATAGAGAAAGTCCCGGCGCCCCCTAGTCGGAGTGCACCTGCGCCCAAAACGGCCGTGAATGGAACGGAAAAGACCAAACCCATCGATAGTACCGAGTTCAGTAGTGACGAAGATCAACTGTTCATAGACATAAGGAACAAATGCGAGGCATTAAAAAGAAAGAATCCCGAACCTGTAAGCATCGCTATTGAGAGAGTTTCCGAGGACCCGAACGCCAAAACAGACTCCGTCCAGTCTCCCCCTTCAACAGACACTGAGGCTACAACCACAAGTTCTACTCCTCCAGTCTCCAACACAACAACGAATACGGACGTTACTCCAAAACCTTCTGGAACTCACAAAAAGCTACCTCGTCTCATCGAAATAAACGCCCCTCCCCGACCCAAAGTGCCATCTCTCATCAGTGACCCGAAACAAAAAACTGGGGTGAAAATGACCACCGTGAGAAAAGAGGTGCCGATCGGAAAAGAAGGGCCCCAAGTACGTCGTGATAGTAATGGTGCTTTGGACCTCTCTGCGGGAATGTCACCACCCAGCAAAACCGGCAGCAAGTCTCCCTTACCTCGCACACTGTCTTCAGAAAAATCTCCGACTCCTTCGGCGTTATCACCTCTCTTGGCGATGTCTTCTTTTCCCCTCCCAGAAACTAAGGCTTCCCCTATACGGATTCCAAATATAAAACCCAAAACGTCTCCAAACCCTCGACCCTCTTCTCTATCCTCGTCCTCGCCATCGCCTCCAGCAGAACCTAGAGCCGCCTCTGAGGTTTTCCCTTCTGCTGCGGCCTATCAGCAACTCTACCGCCATCAGATGGAGCTGCAGAGCAGATTTCTCGCGTCTCAAGTCAACAACAACAACTGGTCCAGGGAGAACCCTCTGACACCCAAGAAGTTCGAGGATTGGATGAGGAACGTGATGAATCTTCCTCATCACCCTCTCATGTTCCCGTCCCAGCTGAGCCCAGAGTCGGGCCGCAAGTGACGGACTCCAGCTGATCGTCAACCCCTCAAGACTGACCGGTTTATATTCATGTTTTCGGACTAGAAAGACTTAGTGAAAGTTCCTTTAGTAAGATGCCTTTGATAACGACGACGTAGCCGTTAGCAACTGTGTACAATTCTGAATGCAAATTTTAAGACTGAATGACGCCTTCGATTTCAGTTTTCAGGACTATCAGGGTTTCTTACGATAACAATGGTTGTATATAATGTATTTTAGTCTATTGATATAGGTCAAGTTGTATTCTATTGTTATCCGTAATGTTTAGACGAATAAGAAGTAATCTATATAATTTGGTTTTATTATGAGTTTCTTTTTCTATACGAGAATGATAAAATAAATTGCTGTTAGTTGTATTATTTCTGTGCTTTAAATTAACGTTTTAAGTTTTTAAGAATGAATATATATTTTTAAAACTTGCTTTTAATTTGTAACTGTGAGAATCTTGGTTTTTTTTAATGATTTACATATGGACTTAAATGTTCCCCATTTTTTTCTGTGCAGTTTGCTTAAAATGAATAACTAAAAGTAACAACATGAAACCATAATATTATAAGTTTGAGGTTTAAATGATGCAATAATTTTGTATTGAACGTCTTTATTACACGTATAAATAATAGATTACACGTCTAACCGTATTCTTATCTCATGTTTGTTTTACTATTATGATATAGTCACAGCATTGAACAGATAATAGGTTACATACTATTGTTTTATATTTATCTTTTAGATATAAGCTTATTTATTCGTTAGTGTAAGCGACAACTGATGGTGATATAGTTAAGTTTCGTTTGTACATAAAATCGCACTACAAAGATCTGATGTACATTGTAAATAACTGTATATAGCTGTGTATTTTATTACGCATTTACAAAATATATCGACTCCTTATTATCATAATGACTGTGTTTTTACTTTCCCAAAATCCAAATTACGGTTTTGAGAAGTAAATAAACCGGATCAAATAGATTGCACTTTTCGAAAGTGGTAAGAACTGTATGCGATTGAAGGACTTATAAATGATTTGCCATATAGGTACTAAATATTTTAAGAAAATGTGTAGTAAGAGTTATATTCTAGTAGAAAGAATATTACTACATAGTTCATGTTCGTCACTTTTAGTATATTTACAAATTTGTTTCAATATGAACGATGATTGTACACTAGTCAAAGGCTTTTAAGGCTAACATTTCTTGTCAAAGAGTAAAAATGTGTCTAATGTGATTAATGTTCATTTTAATACTCGCCTATTAGCCTATAACCAAAGAGTAGGATTTCCTAACACAAAAAAACACACTTAACATTAACATAGGTGATGTGCACATCAATCCCAAAATTTCTGACCTTAGCGAAATAATTAATAATTTTGCTACAAACTTGATAGTAGATATGCAGCTAACTAATGAAACAGCTGGTTAATTACAAACAGTTAGTGCATACTTAGTAATTAGTACTTAGTAACAAAGCTACACAAGGCATCACACTCCATTTTACACTAATCCTTCACTCATATATTTGGGTTAAAATACGTAGGCCTTGGCTTCCCCATCTCAAATGATGGTGATAATAATTAAACAAAATAGGTCATGTCAGCTGCCAACAATAATTAATATCCTTGCTTATACCATAGACAAAAATAATTAAACACAGTCTGTCAGCAGTGCTGCGGTCAACATGGTTACCATAAAGGTTCTGACGCACACCGCTATAAGCGCCGTGTAGTTACGTAACTACTTGGCGCTCCCAGCGGTGTGCGCCAGAACCTATGGTAACCGCAGCATGGCTGATGGTCTATATTTATAATTATTTTTGTCTATGCTTATACTTTATTAATACCAACGACGGTATTTGCATTCAATACATTTGTACAAATCAAGTAAAACAAAATATGCCGTAATCTACTAGACCAAATTTGGCCTGCAATGTATGTAGACTTAAATAAGAAAGCAACAAAAGGAGAACAAAGTCCGCTACTGAGGTGTAAGTATCCAAATACAGATTACCATTTGATGGATCTGATTTGATGTGTAGGTTATGTATTTAAGGTAGAGAAGTGAATCTCTTTTGACACCTAGTAACATCGGTCCTCCCGACTGCAGCCTTTGCGTCCTAGTAGTATATATCGCGACCGATCGCGACACGCTTCCACCACTTTCCTGCGAGAACCAAACTTCATGATTGGAACTACCTCCTTTGCATTAGCAATAATAGTTTTATCGTATTTCAGTTTCAAAAGACTATAATCTAATCTGTTATAACAAATTCGTACTCGATGACAAATTCATACTTTTATGTTGTTTGGATTTTATTTGCATATCGTAGGCCTATACGTCATAAACAAATAACTAATTCCTTTATTTGTTCCAGTGCACTCTATTTCCATATTTTACAAACCCAACAAACCTGTTCAATACAGTAAATTATTATTTATTTATTGTATATAAAACATAAATATTAACAAATAAAGAACCAATTTAAATGTACAGTGATACAAATAAAATTAGATTCTTTAGCCATATTTTGTTTCCTTTCTAAAGATGGGCTATCATGATTCGGATATTTTTCAAATTCAGTTTCGAAACACACAAATAAACCACAAATGAAAAAAAAATTCTCAAAATTGAACAAACATCCCCAATATTACACGTAGTTTAAACGTTATCTATAACTAACTGTAAATGTACAAGCAATCCTATAGAGCTAATCCTACTATTCAGTCTGTGTCTAGGAGAATGTATATACCATTCTTACATTCCTTTCCAATTAGGCTAATGATAACTTTCAAAGCCATTCCGGGCTCTGCAGATTATCAGATAACCTCAATAAGTAAGCCTGGGTACTTAAGGCCGAATAAGTGATTCGGCTTATGATTGTATAGGGAGATTTAGAAATTGTCTGTTTATGTAAAATATTATGTCAAAGACTTATTATTGTATAGCATTTCAAAAAACAAATAAATCTCCAATACAGTTAAAGTTTGCTACTTGTTTTTTTTTCTTTCGAATTTCAAATGTGGCGTTAGCTTACCCCAATATCCACGATACACTGGAGGGCTTTCCTTATTTGTAATATTACTCCTGATAAATATTTGTCCTATTTTGACCAAGAATGACATTCTTGGACAAAATGAGAACAATAATATTTCTTCTCTGCATAATATCTAGATATGGTTACATTTAATTTTTCCTGGGGAAGATGGTAATAATTCAAACTTAACAACATTCGCATATACAATTCTAGAGGGTAACTACTGTATATACTATTAATTTATCCTGGTTCGTTGATGACAATTAAGACAGTAGTTCTATCTCTCTAATACGTGTAGACTCTTGGAGTACTACTACTATTTATTTTTATTCTGGCTAAATAGACAAAAGTGTCCATCCTACTTTGTAGTCTGGAGGACTATTACTATTTATACCTCTCGGTAAATATATAGAAATAGTACTACTTTACTATGCTTAAAAAGTGCATAGGAAAAACACTACTCATTTTTCCTATGGAAATAAGTGAAAAGTGAATTTCCAATATTTTTTCTGATCACATCGCATTTTGTTGTACAAAGCCGGTGATGTAATTGTCTCCCAACAACTTTATCGATCTCAGTCCTGTGTTGCTTGTTACCGCGAGTGTCCTGTCTGCGTCTTGTCCTGCAGGAGATGGTTTTTATAAGGACGTTCCATTCCAATTGTCTTGTAATGCACTTCACTTCCCCTCCTACTGCGCTGAACCCGTGAACAAGAAATATCTCATCTCCCCCTTACCCCCCTTCTCTTCTCCCTCTTCCTTAGAGATCAAAAGAGACGAGCGCCCACGCGGGGCAAGCGAACAATTACTTTTAAGGCTTTCTTTTGGGGCGATATTTACTGGCAGGAAATAACTTTCTTCATCTTATGATGTGTTGTAAGTTTTCCTTAGAGTTTGGGGGTGGTTTGGCGAAAAGTTTGCCGTGGTTTTACCAGGGTTTTACACTACAATTTCTAGAAAGGGGTTTTTATGAAACTGATCATTGACTTGGGGCATAAAACACTGTTTTTGATGGACCGTGTCAAAACATTAACACATTGACCCGTCATTCGTGGTTGTATTTGACAACATTATAACGCGTTTGGCGAATCACAGTATTTGAACCCGGGGATTCTAGAACAGAAGTCTCTAAACGTTAATAGGGCGCACCCACCCCATAGTAGACATTTTATATGCACATTTAAAACGAGTCACACACAGACGTGTAGTCTTGAGATGAATATTTTTTCCTTTTATAAAAGATGTCACCTTTTATTCCATGTTCATTTTTTGGAAATAAAGAATCTTGAATCTTGAGTCTGTTACTTTAAATTAAGAAAAAAAATATTTAAAGTGTCAGTGTTAGTGGCCATTATTTATTATCATTACAAATACATAAATATCTATATTATTAAAAGAATTTGTTGGATTTTTGTATTCAGCAAATCGACCCCTAATTATTTATTTTTATAGGCATATAGGATATCTAAGCTCTTATCCTATAGTTGTGCCTTTTGGGGGGTTGGATGATATCCTGTAAAAGCCTTTCGTCCTATAGGCTTTTAAAATTTCAGAGTTTGTGCTCAATTCTGTTGTGAATCGTCTGCACGTTTTCAAGATTACATTTTTACATCAAAACAGATGGCCGTGATACAATTTGGTTTACATCCATACGAAAATGGGGTTATCGTTACAGTTGGTGGAGTTTTAGTGAATTCAAGTAAATAGTATATTTCACTAAACGGGACTTTCGTCACGAGTATTGAGTGATACTTTCTATCACGATAAAAAAAACTACTTCATCGAACTTAAAAATATATCTGATATTTCGTAATACACTCATTTTTCTAATCTAAACACAATACGGCTGTACAATTAATTTTAGCGTAAAATTTAGCTGATTGTAACTTTGTTGATGTCAGGCAAAGTATTGTTTTGTGTAGCGAAGTAATGTGTATGTCAGGAAAAGTCAGCTGATCACTATTTGTTTTTGGTGTATGGAAACTGAAGATTTTCGAAGATCTCAGCTTTATAGAAATGCGCTATTTTCGAATACAGAGTGATGGACACATTTTTTACGTACTTATCTAAAGAAGTTATTTTTTAATCAAAGTTTGTTTAACTTATCATGCATGATTCCATTATATTGTATTGGGAAAATTAATTTCAAAGTTATGTTCAGGGCTTGCTTGAAAAATTACAGTGATAAGTTAATGGTTATCACGTAATTACGTAAAAATATATAATTTTCAACTTAACTCAGCGCAATTATAAAACTGTAAATTAATTGAAATAAATCGTGGATTTTAAAGTCACGAAGTGACGCTGGCTGCTAGTATAATGTTAACCAAATTGTTTTATATTATTTATAATTTTAATCAACCACATTAGGTACTTAATTTGATTATCGTATGAAAAATATTTTAATC